CACAACTCTTATTTTAAGAGTACCTGTCTTATGGGGGAGGGTATGTGCTATGGTGAGCGCTGTGAATTGTGCAAGACTGTTGAATCACAGATCTGTACTTCTGAAACAAATAATGCAATATATGTTAAGGAAAAAAAAAAGTAGGAGATAGCAGGAGGGGAAGAGGGGAAATCGGAGGGAGAGACGAACCATGAGAGACGATGGACTCTGAGAAACAAACTGAGGGTTCTAGAGGTGAGGGGGGTGGGGGGATGGGTTAGCCTGGTGATGGGTATTAAAGAGGGCACGTTCTGCATGGAGCACTGGGTGTTATGCACAGTGAATCATGGAACACTACATCAAAAACTAATGATGTAATGTACGGTGATTAACATAACAATGAAAAATTTAAAAAAAAAAGAGTACCTGTCTTAAAGTATCAGTACACAGTGGTTATTAGGTGACAGACTTAGGGGGGCCTCAGGTGCTCTTCTGAGGGGGTCCCTTCTCCCTTGCGCAATTTGAAAAATTATATTTCAGGGTGCCTGGGTGGCTCAGTCTGTTGAGCGTCTGCCTTGGGCTCAGGTCATGATCTCAGGGTACTGGGATCGAGCCCCCACATCAGGCTCCTTGCTCAGCAGGGAGCCTGCTTCTCCCTCTCCACTCCCCCTGCTTGTGCTCTCTCTCTCTGACAAATCAATAAATAAAATCTTTTTAAAAAATAGAAAATAAATAAAAAATTATTATGACCATGTTGACATAAAGATAAATATATTACTGTTCTGTATGGAAACATTTCTTCAACTGAAAAGCTCCATTTCTCTTCTGTTTTAAAAGAAATCCAAGCATTTTTATGGGCCCCTAAGTCTACCATGGGCCCTGGGTACTGTGCCTAACAGTGCCTAATGCATAAGTTAGCCGTGGGTGAGAGGCTTATTTGTGGAGATTCTTCCCTCTCCTGTTTCAGTGTTATAACTGCTTTCTGGAAGTTGCTGGCCCCTCTGGCACTCAGGATATACACTTCTAGCTTCCCCCAGCCCCTGGAAAGGTCCAAGTGTGGAGCCACTCACTCCCCTAGTCCTGCCCCTCTCCTCAATTTAAACCCGGGTCTTCATTCCTCTGACTCAGTCTCATTTCCCGGGACTATTCTTGGCCTGTAAAATGGCATTGAATTATCTGATGAACTATTTCTCACTGAGGTACTAGTGACTAACTGTGTTCCTCCTCTACTCCTTCTAGAATATTTGCATTTTGTTAACAGAACCTTTAGAGACTCTCCACCATAATACACAACCATATATCTGATGGAGAAACTTTAGTCCAGCAAAAGATACACTTCAAAGGTTGAACTTTGAGAATCATTGATTGTCTTGTGCCAGTCGCTTGATATCTACTGAGGCCGTGCATTTGACTGGTCTTGGTGACATAACTTTGATTAGAAAGTTCTATGAGGCAGAACACAGACTGCCCCCAGAATTCTCCTGGTAAAGTGTCCTACCTGATGGAGCCCTAATGGAATTCCTTTTATCCAACATCACTTAAGAAGGACTTCTGCTCCCCATCTGAAGTCATCCCTCCAGCTGGGCTGGTGGTGACCCCACACATATACCTAAGAAACAAGTCTTATTCCCTCTGTGCCTGTTATTTCCTAGGTTTGGGCAGGAAAGTGTTCTGAGATGACACTGTTTATAAAGGGTACCATTTACAGTACAGCACAAGCTCTGCAGGGCAAATTCTGGCTTGATTTCTGGCTTTATTGCCTTTTTTTTTTTTTTTTTTTTTTTTTTTTAGAGAGAGAGAGAGCACACAAGTGGCGGGGGAGGGAGAGACAGAAGCTCAAGCAGACTCCCTGCCGAGCACACAGCCTGACACAGGGCTCGATCCCAGGACCCTGAGATCATGATCTAAGCTGAAACCAAGAGGACACCCCTGGCTTTATTGCTTATTATTTGTATGACCTTGAAGTCTCAGTCTCCAAATTTTATTTTCTCTTCTGTAAATTGGGGAGGGGAGGTGGTTGGGTAGAAGTAATATCATACTCATAAAGGTATTGTGAGAATTCTTAGTTATTGTGAGAATTAAATGAGACTGTCCATGCAAAGGCCTTATCATGATGCCTAGCATGCAAACCCTCAATGAATGACTGCTATTATTATTACTATTATTGTTATTATTATTATTATTGCCACCACCACTAAAGCCGTTACAGCCCCTCCAATCCTGATAGCTTAGAGAAAGTGCTGGTGCTCCTTCCCAGACTCTGCAAGGCACTGCCCAGGGAGTGGCCTGAGCAATGGGAGAATCCAGCAGAACAGGTTCTTTCAAAGCCGTGGAAAGTAGATCAAAGGCAATCACCCAAACCTGGAAAAAGAATGTATTCCTTTGTTTGTTCTGTACTAGTTGTGAAAAAACTTTCAAAATGTAACTTATGCTGGAATAAAAGTTGTGGCTGCTCTTGAGGTAACATGACTGAGCCTCTCCAGTGTGTGTTCTTCCTGACCCCCGAGGACAGACGGGGGCCACTTTGAGTTTCGGCTGAGCGTGGTGATGGCTGACGGTGTTCTGTGATGATGTTGCGTACATTAAGGAGTAGCGAGCTTAGCCGTCAGCAAACATGCAGAGACAGCAGAGATGGTGGAGTGGGGAGCTCCACACCCAGGGGCAAAGTATACCTGTGCCTTGCTGCAGATTGCTCATCACCCAATGTGAAATTTCATGGGACTTGGTTAGGCCTCTTGGCTGAAAATAACAGAAGCCCAACTCATACTAGCTCAAGCAAAAGGGGGCATTTATTCTAAAGATTCCACACTGTATCAAGGAAAACAAGGCAAGAGGCAGACTGATATGAGATTGAAACCCAGCCCTCAAATTTTGCCAAAACTTGTGTCTCCCTTCTCTGTGTTAGTCTTCTTTCTACAGACTCACTTCCTCTGAGGCTTTGGTTGTCATATTGGAACAACAGCTCACAAGTTTTGTAAATGACGATGCAGTCATCCAAAGAAAGCCTGGTCTCACTTTCTCCAATTCCAGAATTTCTGTGGCAGGAACTGATTGGCCCAGTTGAGGTCAGGTTCCTTTCTCTGATTACCATTTGGCAATGGGAAAAGGTAAAAACTGGTTAGAAGAGCATGGGACATCCACTCCAACTATATACTGCTTGTGAGTGAGCAAAACCACAATAAGGGAGTATTGAAATAGGGATTGATGAGCTACATGACAAGAAACATGCTGTTCACATTTGGCCCTATAACTGCATCCTGGCCATTCCCAGACTCCTCTCATTTCACTGGAGATTTGGGATGTCATCTGCTCGCTGCCCTTGGTCCCTTCACACTGGGCAGACCCTAGCCCTAAACAAGCTGATTGTGGTATAATATAGTGGTAATGCCCCAGGCTGTAGAATTGCTCGGACCTGGAGTTAAAGCCCAGGTCTGCCGCTGACTAGCTGTGTGACACTGGGCAAGTTACTTAGCCTCTCTGCGCGTTAGTCTCCTTATCTATAAAATAATAGCTCTAAAATAATACATATCGAATCGGGTTGTTGTAAAGACCAAGAAAAATAAAGTAACCATATTTAAAATACTTGGCATATAATAGATGCTCAGTTATGTTAATTTCATTTTCTAATTAGGTTACCTAGAACTCTTCAGGACGGTGGAGGAGTGGTAGCAAGTGAAAAGAGAGAAAAAGAAAAGTGGTAGCATTTTGTATCTGGGAAGTATCCTGCCTCAGGTATTTTACAATTATCCTGAGCAAACATTAAATAATTTAAGTGGGTCAGCTGCACTGGGAGAGCCATACTTGAATAGATATAGTCTCTCACTTGAGAGGTAAACCAACAAGGATCTCAAGATCAATGGTGAATATTTGTTTCTTATTAATTTACTGGTATGACTGTATGGTCCTTAATTTCTTTCCATATAATATCTAAAGTCCACGTAATGCAATCTAATCACTGAGTTAGTGAATGAAGTGCTTTAACATTTGATTGTGACTATTGCAGTTTGGAGAGGCTCTCCTCTTTGAGAATGTAGTAAGTCATTTTTTTTTTATATAAACTAGAATTTATTGAGTTCTGATGATAGCAAGCACCGTACTAAACTTCTACATGCATTGTCTCATTTCTTCTTATGAATTCAGTGCTATCGCCCCCATTTTCCAGATAATGAAATTGAGGCTCGGGTACGTAGAGTGGCAAGGTCACTGAGCACTCAGTGATAGAACAGGAATTTGAGCTCAGCTTAGCCGGCTCCAGAGCCTGAGTTCTTAACAATGCGCAGTACTGGTTCTCTGCACCTTCATTTTGGTTATAAGTTCTCGAGACAGGCAACATAAGAAATGAATCCCCAGGAAAATCTGTGCTTAGAATGTCTCATTTGATAAAGGATAATCTCACGGCGTTCGTGCCCCCACATGACGTTGCTGCACGGGCTTGGATGCAAAGCCTCGGAATTACAGGAAGAAAAATAGTGGAACAACAGATACACTATCTCCTTGGATACAACAACTCTTCTGATTACTTACTTAGAGGATAATAGTGATGAACGGTTTCGCAGATGAAAAAGAGAAACTGGAAATTGTGTCCCACCTTTAGACTGTTCAGCATTTCCCATCTTGGTCAAAATTATGCTCATTCCAGTTGTCTGTTGCTGTGTGGGGTCGTGTGTGCATGCGTGTGGAATATTTTGGCCTGCTCCAGAAAACCACATTTGGTGACCAGTTGTAGGTATTATCAATGACTCCTGATGATATGTGAAGTATTTTCCATCCATTGACCTATGTACCGATAACGGGAACCAATGTGATCTCTAATCACTAATTGACCTGCTCTTCCAGCAACCATTTATTCTGTTTGGTGAGTTTCATTATATTACAGACTGTGCTTCATTTGTACCTTTTTCTTTTTGAATTCATCCTGTGTGTAAATGGAAAAAAAAAACATTTAAATATCATGTCTCTTTTGACTAAAAGCATATCTGGATTAATATCTCATATTTTTCTTTTTCATTCTCTGTTTTCAGCTCCAGGGTTCCTTGAAAAGAAAACAGGTGGTTAACCTGTCTCCTGTCAACAGCAAGAGGCCCAATGGCTTTGTTGACAACTCATTCCTTGATATAAAGAGAATCCGTGTGGGGGAGAACCTCTCTGCAGGACAAGGGGGCCTGCAAGTAAATAATGGACAAAATCAGATTATGTCAGGGAGCTTGCCCATGAGCCAAGCACCCCTGCGGAAGACTAACACTCTGCCACCCCATACACATCCTCCTGGAAATGGTATCTTTAACATGGGCTTAAAGGAAGTGAAGAAGGAACCAGGAGAGACTCTATCTTGCAGTAAGCACATGGATGGCCAGATGACCCAGGAGAGCATGTTTTCCAATAGGTACGGAGAGGACCCTGTAGAGCAGCTGATGGACCCAGAGCTGCAGGAACTGTTCAACGAACTGACCAACATATCTGTGCCTCCCATGAGTGACCTGGAGCTGGAGAACATGATCAATGCCACCATCAAGCAGGATGACCCATTTAACATTGACTTGGGTCAGCAAAGCCAGAGGAGCACTCCCAGGCCCTCCTTGCCCATAGAGAAGACAGTGATCAAGAGTGAATACTCCCCGGGCCTAACCCAGGGCCCCTCGGGCTCCCCTCAGCTGAGGCCCCCATCAGCTGGCCCTGCATTCTCCATGGCCAACTCGGCACTCTCCGCTTCTTCCCCGGTCCCTTCTGTCCCTCAGAGCCAGGCTCAGCCTCAGACAGCCTCGGGAGCAAGCCGGGCCCTGCCGAGCTGGCAGGAAGTATCCCATGCCCAGCAGCTCAAGCAGATCGCGGCCAATCGTCAGCAGCATGCCCGGATGCAGCAGCACCAGCCTACCACCTGGTCGGCCTTGCCCTCCTCCGCTGGGCCATCGCCAGGTCCGTTTGGGCAGGAGAAAATCCCCAGCCCTTCTTTCGGTCAGCAGCCATTCAGCCCGCAGAGTTCCACGATGCCTGGGGTGGCGGGCGGCGGCAGCCAGTCGAAGGTGATGGCTAACTACATGTACAAGGCCAGCCCGTCGGCCCAGGGAGGGCACCTGGACGTGCTCATGCAGCAGAAGCCCCAGGATCTCAGTCGGAGTTTCATGAACGCCCCGCACACAGCCATGGAGCCCCGGCATGGCAACACTAAGCCTTTGTTCCATTTTAACTCAGATCAAGCAAGCCCGCAGATGCCTTCTGTTTTGCCTTCCCAGGCTAAGCCTTCTCTCCTGCACTACACCGCGCAGCCGCCGCAGCCGCCCCCGCAGCCGCCCCAGCAGCCCCCGCAGCCGCCCCCGCAACCCCCGCAGCCGCAGAGCTCCATTTCAGCTCAGCAGCCCCCGCCGCCACCGCCGCCGCAGTCTCAGCCTGCCCAGCCCCTGTCCAGTCAGCCTTTGCTAAGGTCCCCCTTGCCGCTGCAGCAAAAGATCCTGCTTCAGAAAATGCAGAACCAGCCCATCACAGGCCTGGGGTATCAAGTCTCCCAACAGCACCGACAGGTAAGACCGTAAGTTTGCTACCCCAAACGCAGAGGACCCGGAGACCATTTAGCCTGGTTCTTATGCTCCGGTTGCAACTTCTGTGTTGGGGCAGAATCAAGACCGCGAAGATAGTAGTGGTCCTGTCAGATTCCCGCGAAGGCCTCCTGAAGCCCAGCTCGCACGGGGCATCTGGAGGCAAGAGCTAGTATTTCCTCGTAGATCATTCCTCTCGTTGGGATCTGCAGCGGTCAAAGGCTCTTGCTTATTCAGAATGTTGCCTTGTAATTCATGACCTTTCATGACATGTCCAGTTGGCAGTAAGATTCGGACACACCTGATGTTTATTCCTCCAGTCAGTAAGTCGGTCATTAAGTCCACATGCGCGTCCTGAGTACCTACCATGTGCAAGATGTTGTGATTATGCTGAAAATTGAAGTAAGTCCAGACATGATTTTAAGAGTATTTAATGACCCGTCTACATCCACACCAACCAATTGAAATGCCCGAATGCGGAACGCATTGTAATAGATCCTGCTGTGACTCCATGCTGGTGCATTAAATAAGACATGGTCCCCGTTTTCAGGCACAGTCTGGAGAGAGAGAGAGACAGGCTTTAAAACTCTCATTTGAATACTAAGTGGAAAGGCTAATGACATGAGAGCACAGAGGTTGGTGTCTTACCATGCAAGGGGAAATCAGGGAAGTCTTTTAGAGAAAGTAATGCCTGCATTAAGTGTTAAATGATGAAATGGTCATCACTAGAAACAGGAAAAAAATATCTGTGGTTACCTTATATCCTGTGATTAACATAAAGCAGAGGTTTTATTCTGCCCCAGACATGAATAGTATGAAGAGATAGCTCGGTGCCTCCAGAGCGCACACTAGTGAGGAATTTCAGATCCCCAGGGAATTTGAGAGCGGAAACTCTTCCTGGAAGGAAGAAAGTCTGAATGTTGCTTTGTGCGTGTAATTTGACGGGTCTCCGTTAGTGGCCAAGCACAAAGACAACACGTTACACGTCAAAACAATATGTCAGGATATTATGACGGCACTGAGCCTAATTCCAATCACATTCCTAGAGTAGTTTTTGTGGCTACTGCCCAGAAAAGAATGCCACAAGCACCACAGACCGTGGCCAAGCTAACCTTTGCCCTAGATGTGTGCCAGGAGAAAACTGCTCAGCCAGCATTCGAGAGCTCTGCACCAAGGAAAGCTTTGAACTCTTGTCCACTTAAGAAGTGTGGGGGGTTAAAAAAAAAAGTGTGGGTTTTTTTTTTAATTGTAGTTGATGAAGAATGGACTTGAGTACAGTCATGTGTATATTTTACAAAGTTCCTTTTTAACAGGTAATTTGGGGATCGTTGATAAACAGTATTGTGGAACTACTTCCTAATGGCGTGGTTTGTCATTTTGGTTTGGGTGAATCTAGGTTCAAATTCTTACTCTGACATTCACTAGCTGTGTGACCTCCAGCAAGTCACTGGACCTCATGAAGCCTGTGTTTTCTCTCCTGTAAATGGGGGTGATGATAATATAGCCTAGGATTTTTTTTTTTTTTAGAATAAAATTAAGGGGCACCTGGGTAGCTCAGTTTGTTAAGCGTCCCACTCTTGATTTCAGCTCAAGTCATGATCTCAGGGTGGTGGGATCGAGCCCCGGTCAGGCTCTGTGCTCATCAGGGAGCCTGCTTGAGATTCTCTGTCTTCCTGTGCCTCTGCCTTCCCCGCAAAATGCGCACTCACACACTCTCTCTCCCCGCTAAAATAAATCAATAAATATCTTAAAAATGAGATAATTTTGCACCCAGAGTTTAGAATAAAGTTGACAGTTGTTATGATTATCATGCAAAGAGCCATATATGATCTCAGAATGTTTTTAACAAGTATTACTCTTATGTAGGAGATGGAGTAAGTCTCGAGTTCTAACATAAAGAGTTTTGGAGGAATAAAAGAAAACTATCCTTCATTATTTTATTATCCAGCAGTATAGTGAGTGGGTAGTGATTTACCCTCCCTAAGCCCAGACTTCTGATTATAAAAATGGAAATAATAAATAATGGGATATTAATAAAAGGTAGTGTTTATTATTTACCCTGTAACTGGCATGACTTCTCTCTCTCTTCCTTATGGTATCTCATTTCACCCATATGAAGGAAATCCCATTGTTCTCATCTTACAGGGGATGCAAGTGAGGCACAGAGAGGCTAAGTAACTTTTCCAAAGTCACACAGATAAGAAGTAGCAGAGCTGGGATTCTGATGGTCTGTTGTGCTTTTAGCCACTGGCTATACAGCTCATAGGTAGGATTTGTTGGGAAATGAATGACCACTTAGAGACCATTGTGAAATTCTCAAAAAGAATATTTCCTTTAATACTGAGCCATATTTACATAATCTACAGGGTAGATGAAGTCCTTTGGGGATAAAGAAAGTCTTAAACTCTAACCTTCAGAGTTGTTATAGAAGAGAATCAATATCTGTGTGACTTGACCTTCCTGAGGGTGAACATTATGGAGCTAACCAAAGTAAGCCATTTACAACAGGAAATATGTCTCTTTGGTCACCCCGTCAGCCCTTCTTTGGGAGCCTTCCTGCCGTCCTCGGTCCTGTTTCCAGCTCCGTTTCTCCTATCTACAGCTGTACACCACACTCACGACCTCTTCGTCCCCATCGAAGCTTCCAGAACCCAAGCACACCAGTGGGTGCTGATGGCCAAATCAACATACATCTTTCAACGTCTTAGATAATATTTAACTGTTTCCAGTGCCATGACACATGATGCCAAGATAATTTTCCTCTTTTCAAGAAAGCTCTTAAAAAGTGGTGGAAGTGGTAACAGCGTTTCAAGCCAAAGGCCCCTTCTATACATGCCAGACATGGCGACCCATTTACGGCTTTATCCGAACTTTGTAGATTGAATCAAATTGTCCCTTCCTGTTCAACAGTTCCAAGAGGGAGGATTCGGAAGTCCTGTGTCTGAGTTGTAAGCAAGCGTATCAGAGCTCTATGGTCAAATAAGTGGTGCCCTCTTAAAATCATTCACCTTTGTGGGGCTGAACTTATGCTAATAAGGGTGCTGTTGTTCAGCACGGTTACAGAATTTTGCTCTGGGGATTGTCTTCAGAGCTTTTAGCACATTGAGTGGATTATTACCAATGCGTAATATTCATCCTGGCAGGGTGATCTTTGAAAACAGTCAAGATGGGTAATGCTGCTTTGGGTCAAAAACAAGGAATAAGTGATAGGATAGGACTGGATTTCAAATATGGCTTGTGAACTTTCTCTGAAGGCAATAAAGTAAATAAATGAGTTGCTTTCCAAGATGGTAATTTTGAGAAGCAACTTTCATTTGGATGTGCATATTTTTTTTTAAGATTTTATTTATTTATTTGACAGAGAGATAGAGAGAGAGCACAAGTAGGCAGAGAGGCAGGCAGAGGGAGAGGGAGAAACAGACTCTCCACTGAGCAGGGAGCCTGACGTGGGGCTTGATCCCAGGACCCTGGGATCATGACCTGAGCCGAAGGCAGCCGCTTAACTGACTGAGCCACCCAGGCGCCCCTGGATGTGCATATTTTTAAGGTTTTTCTAATTCTTTTTTTTTTTAATTTTTTATTGTTATGTTAATCACCATACATTACATCATTAGTTTTTGATGAGGTTTTTCTAATTCTTATTGTCTCATCTAGTATATTGCTAAGTATTCTCAGCTCAGAGAGGGTAGTTTTAACCCCACCGTTTATAGTAGACAGAACAAAAGTGCGTTCTCATTTCCAATTAGCAAAATCTCTGTTACTCATGACCAAAGCCACAGGAGGGGAAAGATGGGGAATTAAGCAATTCTTAAGTTTATCAACTAGAGTGTCCTAAATGAAAGCACTGGTCATAAATTTTCTTCTGCTTGACATACTCACTTTGTGTCAAACATAGGAAGACTTATTACGGGATTTTTCTAGTTGGAATTCTTTCACCTTGGAAATGGTGGAAACCTTGGCTTTCTGCTACAAGATGGTAGATTGAATTTGTCGATCAGTTGCTTGTAATTTACCCAGCAGAGTGTGCAAAGATGGCCTTCTCGTCACCCTTCAGAACTCTGCACCCAGACAGATCTGCATGCTCAAAGAAGGTACTGGGGGGAGTCTGTGCCCCTCTGTCTTAATTGGGTACCCGTCTCCGTTCTCCAAATGTGAATGAATGGTGCCTGAGAGATGGATGCAGCATAATCGAATTGTTAGAGACCTCTTTATCGTTTCATGCCTGGGGTGGTTTCAAGTAAGCCCTTCTCCAGATACTGAGAGAACAAATGGTATTTGGTATTTCACAAAATGTCTTCAGTGACTCTGTCTTGTTAAGGTTTGGGGCTTGGCAAATGGAAATACCTCCTGGGTATAATTTCCTTTCCTTTCTGATTTAAAGGTTATGGGAGAGGGCAAGAGAGGGATATAATGCATGCAGTTCTGATTTATCTTCAAGTCACTGGATACTTGTTTAAGGTGTGAAAGAGTTATTGGTTCACTAGGGCTTGTGAGAGTTCAATCCAAAAGCTCTAACCTCTTGAACCAAGAAGTGATCTTTGTCAGAGCTGTATAATCAGAAACTTAAAAGTGTGAATTTTTTTTCTAACATTAGATCCATGAAACTCAAGTGGATTCTATATTTGGTTTAGAATTATCCCATCTCTAAAAATTTTGAGAGGGAACACAGCCAGGGAATGGATGGTTTGTTATGACCGAAACATAAATTTGTACATTTCCTCCTTAGTTTAAAGCCAAGCTCTTCAATCATATATTAAGAACCTCACCCCACTCTCTCTGCCTAGCCAAGTTTATCCTTCACTACTTTGTCAGCCCTTGGCGTAAATCAGGCAAGTCTCATGTTCTCCCCCCTTCTTCTTTAAGGTAATTTTGGATATATCTGATCTTAAAGATGAACACCCAGTTGAGGGCGAAGGAATCACTGGACTTCTCCTAGACTGACAAATCCTTATAATTGCCCAGTGAAAGTGCCAGAGAAGAGATAG